GTATGCATCAAAGCTTGCTGTCCTCTCTCCAGGTCGCCTCTCAGGATCAACGCAGCCAAACACTAGTACGTAGTCCCACATGTAAGCATGTGTGCTGTCAGACATTGCAGCCATGTGCTTGGTGTGCAACATGTTGTAGCATGCGCCCCAAATGTGGGCTGCATCCTTCTTGGTGCCAGGCACAAGCCTTTCCATGGCTTTTCCCAAGGTGGAATCATCCAGGAGGCCAGCAATTGGTAGAGGTTTCGACCAACGTGTAGCATCTCCAAGAATCTCAGAATGTTTGTTCCAGCCTTGAAGACACTCATCCAACAGTCCCTCTGCAACAGGCTGAAGCAGCTTCCATTTCTTGAACTTTGCGGCGTCTTTGCCTTCTCCACCTTCACCCAAATAGTGCTTGAGTCCCACCCTGGCACTGAGCAAATCATTCCCGGCTGAAGGGCATCTTTCTGCTATGAGAGTGAGGGATTTGTTCACCTTAGCTTACAAGACACACACACACACATCAAGTCACATCAAGTGATTCTGAAATGGAAAACATAGAGTAAACAATTACTGTAATGCAACCTCAGTGGCTCTTTCTGACTCGCGAGTGTCCGATCGCCAAATGTTGGAAACTTCACTGAGGGCATAATAGAGCCAGGTAGTGAGCTTGCCTGTCCTCTTGGCATACTCAAGGTCCTCCCTGTACAGATCTTTCAGTTTCCTCCCCACGATGTGCAGTTGGCTCAGAGGCGTGTCCAGAATTTCTGTGGCAAGCTTCATCCTTGCTTCGCAAACACATGCTGGGCTACTCTTCAGGAGCAGCAAGATCTTGTAGGGGAATCGTCCCAGAACTTCAGTCAATCGTCTACTGAAGTGTGAGGCATGCACCAAGATCAATCTTGAAGCCAATGTGGCAAGAAATCTGGCATCAGAGTCTTCGTTGGCTGAATGAAGGGAAAACATGCCACGCCAAGTAGATTCATCACCTTACACCTGCTGGGCCATGAAGGGTGCTGTTTCTGATCCGGTGATTCCACAACCATCAAGGTTCCGCTTCAAACATTTCATGGAGCCTGAGCCTATCCAATCATATTTCCCTCCATGTCGTGGTGAGGGCAAATATCCGTTTGAGTTCACAAAATTGAACAATAGGACCAACAGCGCCACAAAAAAATAACATAAACACTTCAGCGTTCAACACCGCTTCAGTGTTTGCAAAGTTCAACGGAGGCGCATAGGAGATCTTCAAATTCCTGACGCAACTCACCTGCCTTGTAGCAGGTGAGCTCAAGAAGCTTTCGCCCACCACGCCTTTTCAACCAGTTGCTCAAATGAATCAACGGCCCACGGGTCAGATTGTTGGTGCGGATCAACGGGAAGAACAACTGATCGTTCGCTGCGAGCAACAAATACCGCCGCCACCTTCCTAATCTAGCAGTATATTCAGCAAGATGCTCCAGCGCCAGCAGATCGACCCCGCCAACAGATCCAGTCGCAGCAGTAGCCTTGATTGGATTCTCACCCTTGGCTGCACCTTGGTCCTTCTTGCCCTTAGTCTTCTTCTCACCGCCTCAAAGGGATGAGCGACATTGAGGAGATGAGATGAAGTGGTGAGTGGCAAGGGACAACTAACTAACTAACTCACTCACTCACTCACTCACTAACTAACTAACTAACTAACTATGCATGCGCAACGGCAAGTATAACTAACGTTCACAACCAGAGCAGTAATGAAACTCAACAACTCAACAACCGGCCCTGGGTCTCACTTTGGGAGCTTTTGGCTAGTCACAAGTGTATGGTTTGACTGCGGCAAGCCACAAGACATGATATGCTAGGGGTGAGGTGAGCACTCACAAATAGTACTTTTTGCCCATACCCCACCTGACGACTTCTCAGACTTCTCTGTGCGAGCCCTCACCATGAATAGGCTGATCAAGTCGTTGGGCAAAATGCCCTTGAAGGAGGCAAGTTCGGATTCACTCAAATTGAGTTTCTTTAAGATAGCTCTGGTCAAGCAGGAGGCCCAGTGGCCAGGTGGTGGGTCCAACAGTCTACGCTCAATGGCGTCCACGCAACCCCATCGGCCTGCATTCGACTTGGGGATAAGAGTTTTGCAGTACTTGTTTGCCTGTACTGCCCCAAACAGGTCTGTCCAGATCTTGTAGATTTCTGCTGAGAGATCTCGGGCGCATGCTGAGAATATGGCCAACGAGCTGTAGTACTTGAATGGGCGATTGTGGCGCTTCAATGCTTCGTCTGTCAAGGCCAAGCCGCCCAAAACAGCTAGATGGGCCTGGTGTTCAAAGCAGTTGCCATCGACAAAGATGAAGTTTGGGATGTTCTCAGTCAGAGCCAAAATATGTTTCCGGGCGTTGACCTCGTTTGGCCCACAGTCTGTTGTACAGCAGCACCACATGATGTTGCTTTTCCTTGATGGGTGTCATGATGACAAAGTAGACTAGCATAAGAACAGGCAAACATACTTCATACGGCCATACATACTAAACAAAAGGTAAATGGTAAACAAAAGCAAAACTAAACGATATCTCAGCTCTTGTTTTTAACCTACCACGTCACGACTTGACTTGCGGAATTTGCAACGCTGCCCACGCAAACCCTCATTGTTGTTCATTCTCTCTCTCTACTATATATATTTATATATGTCTAGTCCAAACACCAGCCACAGGTAACGTTAGCTGAGCGGCGCAAGATGAATGTTTGACAGGTGTTTGGGTCCACCAAATGCACACGATGAACCAACATTCGAGTCCAATACTCCAAGCAGGTCCCGCCATGTGGGGCAAGCAAGTGAAGCCATCATTTTTTCAGTCATGCCCAGGGTGCCCTTGCCACTGGAGTCTTCCACAGGGAGGACATCTGCTAGTCTTTTGATCCGACCAAAGATGGGTAGAGGCTTGTCATCAAAAACTGAATCACACAGTTCACTGTCAGGTGCCACATGCAAATCATCTCCAGACACGCCCGCAACAAAGGCACCTTCCATTTCCAGCGCAGTAAGTTTTGACTTTTGCCAGCAGGAGCCGTTTGTTGCGTCTTGGCGATAAGAGATGACAGTGAGACTCCTCGTGTCAGACTCAGCATCTCGGATTGAAGCTGCCCACGATTCCCAAAACAGCCTGGAACTGGCCAGCAAGCATGCTCCAGCTTTCACCTCAGCCCTAGCAACTGTCCATCTGCTCAACTCCATCAACAGCGTTGGCCCCAAGTCCGCAGTGCCAATATTGCTGAGATTGCGGCGGATAGCAGCAGAAAGACATCCCTCTGCGGTCAGCCATCCGCTGGACTCACCTTCCACCACCAGTCCGCCAGCACGAGCTTGTTTCCTGTCAGCATGCCGTTCTATCGCCAACTTTTTTAATCTCTTGGCTTTGGCCTCACCCAGCTGCTCCTCAAGTGATGTGTTCCGCACTTCTTCTCGTTTTAACCTTTGAGACATTTGTTTGAGCTTCTGGTCTTTCTTCAAGGATTCATCCTGAAGCTCTTTCACGAGTTTTTGCAGGAGCTTGATTTGCAAAGCTTGAAGTTGACATTGACTAGAGGCCAAGGAAGTTCCATCAGAACCAAAAGACTGTGACACTGCAGAATCAGATCTGTGGAAGGTAGAAGAAGAAGCTGAATCCGACAATGTAGGAGATCTGGATCTGGATAGGTCAACTTCTCCACGGTGCCTAACTCGCTCAGTTTCCCGCCCCGAAAGTTGATGGCCAGCCGAGTGCAGCTTCTTAGCAACGCCCAACAACCATCTTTCCAACACTTCTTTCTGAACCTCTTCAATCTCCCACTCCCCAAAGTGCTCAACAGAACGCAAGAACAAGTCTAAAGTACAGTATCCATCGGGTACTGTCTCTCTATCAGTTCTTCTGTCGACGAAGGATTTGATGATTTTTGGTGTAGGCGACCTACTTGCAAGGCAAAGCCTTAGCAAAGCAGGGATCATGGCAGAGGGGATCAGAGTTTGTCCCTCCAAGCATTGTCCTTGCCCAATCACCACACAGGTGTTCTTCAGCAAGCTCAGGATCTTGGATGAAAACACATCTTGCGGAGGTTCAGGTGGCGAGGCGCATGCAAACATGTCTTCGAGTTTGAGCCTGATGATCTAGGATTCTGGCGGTCAATATCCGATGCAGCTCCGTGGCTTTCCAAAACTCGTTTTTGCTGCCAGAACACAGAAGCATATGTTTTTTGCAATTTGGCCAAGAACACCGACCAGAACAGGGGAAACCTATGTTGCCTCCGTTTACAAAACACGTTCACTTGCATTGTTTGTTCCCAATCGCAGCGTCACTCACGCATTGCCACCCTAACTGTTCAAAAAACAACATAAAATATCGATGTGCGTGTAAGTTGTTTCAACATAATAGATCGGTCGCGCTCGAATCTTCATCATTCCACTTGTCAAATGTTACAAGTTAAACCTACCAGTTGCACTTAGCAAAAAGTTTTCTGCTAGTCCCCTGATCCTGTCTTCTTTGCCAAATCACTACCCCCCCCCGCCCCCACCCACCCTCCTTGGGGTGCCCTGGGGGGCATGTGAGCCAAACCCCCCCCGCACCCAGAATTTTTGTATCTTCGTCCCACAGCCCAAACCGCACGTCACGAATACTTCCCTTTTTCGCTGCCTTATTTGAGAGCATGGATTGATCACTTCGAGGTTACCATACCCAATAGCGGCAGTGTCCCAATCCCCCTGTATGTGGTTGTTTTTTGCTAATGTTGTACAGAATCTTACATTCTTTGAAGTATCCTTGCCTCCTGGAAGTCCGTACTCCTGATGTATGCAACTCTTGGAATCCAGTCAGGAAGCATGCGAGTTGTTTGCTTGAGATGATGAAGGAGAAGGTTGGATATATTATATTTTCAGCGAAGACGGCTGGACCAAAAAAGTATCCTTGCCCTGCTCAAAACCTGCCACAGACCCTTTTCCACAATGGACTGCAACTACCACACCAACGTCAAGAATAAGACAGTGTGCAACACCGGAAGATCCATATTGGGCTTCTCCATGGCACGAGATAACTGCATGACTGCCTGAGCTATATGCTACAAAGCTATTCCGCTTGCTCGGCCAACACTCGTTCCAGGACTGACTTGTCCATAGATCCAATTTTGCCTTCCACGCACTGGTACAAGCCTGTCCTTGTGTTAGGGTTTTTCAAGCTCACCCAATTTGCTGACTGCGTATCAACACTCGTTCAAGTCATAATTTCTAGTACGTGTTCTTCGGTGAAAATACATACATAAATACATCCATCCATCCATACATACATACAGACATACAGACATACAGTGGCTCAAGCCGTTTGAGGTCTCAACCTGGTCCCATACCAGGCACAGGAGACAGAGCCATAGACTTCCTCAAGCTCGTCACCGGCAACTGGACTCCTTTGCTAGCTATCCTCGACTTCACCTTGGACACTCCTGTTGAGAACCTCGGTGGCTGGCAGAGCTCGCCCTGGACCCCTTTTTTGGCTTCCAGGACCAGTCCGCCTACCCACACCAAGGCCATTCGGGACAATCTGACCTACCACTTTGCCCGCAATCCCTACTTGGCACAGTACTTTCCAGGCCAGATCGTGTTCGGTGCACTGATCTTCAAACCCCATCCAGGACGTTGAAGCTCCCAGTGGACCTGCACACCAGGAGATATGACACCCAACTGGTGCCGTACATACCAAGTTTGCACCAAGAGCACTTGCCACAACTGGATTTGGACGGACAAAATTCAAAGTGGCAACAGATGCCGCAAGTGCGGAACGTGGTGGGTCACCCAGAAGTCCAATGGCAAAGGAAAAGGCCAAGGTCATTCCAACAAGCTAAACCCCACCACGAAGGATTGGCCAAGAAAGTCTTATCAAGAAGCACTCATGGACACACCGCCAGGACTGAACCGCCCTAGGCCACTACGACGGCCAAAGGACCAGCAGCAGGCAGCCGAGCTCCTCACGGCCAACTGGGAAGCAATCCCACAGACCATCCAAAGCAAGCTGCAAGCTCTTGGCCTTGGACCACAACCACAGGAGGAGCCAGGCTTGACAGACATCCTGAAGACGCATATGACCTCATTGCCTCCAGAAGTCCAAGCTGTTGTCACCAAACTGACAACACCCATCCCGCAAACGGAGAAGGAGATTGCACAACAGTTGAAGAACCAGGTCACGGATTTGAAAAACCAATCCATCAAGAAGACCCAGCTCCAAGTGAAGCTCGATCAGGCGAAAAGCCACTATGCTGCCATGTTACAGGATATGCAGGATATCCAAGCCAGGCTCAATGAAGGACAACAGAAGCTCAAACAGCTTTCAGACCAATACATGGCTGCTGTCAACCAAGCACCCAAGCCTGAAGACCTCACTCAGGAACCAGCAGCCTCAGAGCCCATTCCAATGGCAGTCGAATCTTTTGTCACGAGTCTCGGCATCTCTTTGACAGATGATCAGAGAAGCCAACTCCACGGTCTCTTGAAGCGTCCCAACATGGACGAAGACGACCCAACCAAGCGCAGGAAAACTGAAGCGGCTGCAATCCCACTACACGTACCGTTGAGTGGGTAACATGCAGTGTGCGTACCAGGGGCAGCTTCAAGGGGAACTTGTGCCAATTTCCTTTGATGATTTTGATGAAGCACACTTCAATGGGGACCATGTGAACCAGCATCAATGGGTTTGCCGCGCTGCATCAGGCTCAGAGGTGCATTTCACAAATGACCCTGCAAGGTGTGAAAGGGAACACTCACACCTCCACGCAAGGCCAGACACAGATTTTGGGGAAACCGATTCCAGTTTGCATGAAGGGGACATTTCATGCATCAATCCACATGGCACAGCAGCCACGGACAACACTGTCCCAGTTTTGCAAGCCTCCAATAACATCCAACTATCAGGCCATGACGTCCTGACTACTACTGAATATCTCTCCATCAAAGGTGGAGCAGCTTCCAGTGCACCTACGGAGCTGTCACAGTCAGGACCACACCACATGGAGCATGAGTATGCATCCACGACAGACTGCATCTTGCAGAACCTCAGTATGACAGTGGGAAATCCAAGCGCCCACTGTTATGCCAATGCACCTTGGCGTGCATTCACCTGGACGTGTGCACTTTTGCAGGAAACGAGCACACAACCATGGGGTGCCTTGCAGGATGCGGTGCAAGAATCCTTGGACACAGCTGGGCAAGTCGATCTACACCAGCTGCCGGGCATGCAGGAGCTATGGACTCAGCATGACCTCAACCTGCTAGGAGATGCCAATCATTTTGTCAACTCACTTTGTCAACTCACTTTGGCTCCAATCTCAGACTCGAGCATTCCACTACAGATATGCTGAAATCAAGGAGAATGGCTACCTGGTGGATCATGTCCAAATGCCGATCTTGATCCCGTTTCCTGATGATTGGCCTGATGAAACTCGGTTGCAGGACCTCATCAACAACCGGGCGAATCAGGGCTTGGGGCAATACCTCATGGACGACAAGAAGGTTCTCATATGCCATGTCACTCGGAACACAGTGGTGGTTGGCATTGCTACCAAGCACAACAAGACGCTGAATCCTTATGGAACTTTCACTGTCCCTCGCTCACTGGACGGATTTGCCAGGACCTCCACTGAGTTTGTCCCTGCTGTCCTCATTTGCCACAGGACCAAAACTCATGACACTGGTCACTACTTCGCCATACTCATCTATAGAGACTTGATGTGGTTGGCAGATGATGGCAAGGTTCCTACATACCTGCCCTTTCTCACGCCCAAGTTGGCCAGTCAGATAACTCAGATCTGGGCTGTCAGTCTCGATGTCTTCAAAACGCCACAACAAATCAGACGCAGTCTGGAACAACCAGACTATGATCCACCTCTACATCCAAGTCCCACCAAGAAGGCACGCAAGGCCCAAGGACACAACAAGCTGCACTACGCCAATGTCACCAACTTTGGCAGGCAGGTCCTGGACTGGTACTGGACAAGAGACGGGGACATTCACATCTTTGTTGAGACCCACCTCGATCAGCAAAGGCGCCAAGAAGTGTGTCAATACTTCAGCATTCGTGGCAGAACAGCTTTTGGCACCGCTGCAACCATGAACTCAGCAGCTACAGGCACGTCTGGAGGCATCCTCATCTTGGCTGATCCCAGTTGCTGCTTGATGGACCTGGACCACTACGATCATCAGGGCTGTGGCTACCATGCCTTCCTGTGGCAGGCCACGGAGGCCACCATCCTGGTCGTGGGCATCTACCTGCACCACAGTGAGACCCTACAGAGCACTGTCAATGCCAGCATCCTCAGCAGGCCGTTGGCTCTTCTTGAAGCAACCAAGCATCCCTATGTGATCATAGGTGACTGGCAGAATCCTCTTGATGCCATAGCAGGTACAGTCCTGCCGGCCAAGTTCCACTTCGGCATTTTGGCTCCAGACCACAGTGTCTTGTCAGGTAATGTACTGAATTATGGCCTCCTGCACGATCAACTTGCCAGCGCAACAGCATTGACCACAGACTGGGCAGTGCCTTGGCGGCCGCATGCATTGCTCACCTTGAACTTTGACATCGAAGCAGCCACAAGAGAATACCGCCAGATCCAACAGTTCCCTCCTTTGCCCAAAGTCCCGGACATTGATTTCCGGCCATGGACCACGTACCAGAGTCAAGCCTATGAACTATGTCTCTACGACAATCCCACCAATGAAGCGGCGCAACACTGGGCGGACTGGCTGTCCAAAACAGAGCAATACGTTTTGCAAGAGCACCCTTGGGCTGCACAAGGAAGAGGGGCAAACTTGAGGGCTGTCACCAAGCCTTTGGTCCCTATTGGCCCCACCAGAACCTGGCGCAAAGGCCGCCCTGCCTTTTGGGAGCAGCTACGAGCCAGATTCCAGCTGGCACTCAAACAACCGGCTGAAGTCCAACATGGCCCAGTCCGAGGTTTCATGAAAGTGGTACATGATGTCCAGAAGCATTGGCAAGGCCCTCCAACATGGGGTCCATTTCTCGATACCACATATCACTGGCACAAATACAGAGATCCACATGCAGCTGACCTCATGGATCAGACGATGGCACATCAGCTCAAGGAAGCCCAACACCAGGCCAACGAGGAAAGCATGCTCCAGTACCAGGAATGGCTCACTACAGGACAGCAAAAAGGCCTCAAAGGCATCTTTTCGGGGCCTCAAGACCAGTGAGATTGCCTGGCTCCGGCCGTACAGACAGATACCCATGCATGAACGGATGACACAAAGACTCCAAGATTGGGGAGACCTATGGGGCATTCGACCTGACAATGATCCCCATCCACGTGGCAGCCTCAAGCCAGAAGCTCAAGCCCAGGCCACTGCCCTTGAGCCCATCACAGTTGGACAACTGAGCCGTGTCCTCAAAATACTCCCAGACAAGGCAAGTGGCCCTGATGCAGTCTCAACCCAACTGCTCAAAGCCGCCCCACCACTTGCATTGGCTCCGCTGCTCCAACTCTTCCGCACCATGGAAGAACAGGCAGAGCTACCAACCCAGATGCAAATGCACATGGTGGTGATGCTGCCAAAGAATGCCAACATAGAACGACCTATCACCTTGACTTCCACTTTGTGGAGAACTTGGTGCCGCCTCAGAAAGCCCGTCCTTGATCAGTGGCAACGAACACTGCCAAAGGCTATGGAACATGACAGAGCGCGCCCAGGAGCCAATGTCCTCTATGTGGCATTGGAAAGACTCCTTCGACAAGAAGTTTAAAGAGCTCGTGGGTGTCATGGAATAACGGTGCTCATGGATATGTCCACATTCTATGACACAATCCCGTTAGATCGTCTACAGCAAGAGGCCATCAAATTGAACTACCCACCATTGCACTTGGAACTGGCGATGCAGCTGTACACCGGACCAAAGGCGATCAATGCTGAGCAAGAATTCACACCCTTCTTTCGAGTTGATCGTGGCATACCTGCAGGCTGTCCACAAGCGCCACTGCTAGCAAAAGCAGTCCTTGCCCCAGCTTTGGTTCCGTGGAAGGAGGAGCACCCCAAAATCCACCTCTCAAGCTGGGTAGATGACATTGGCTTTGACACTCATGGCAGCAACCCACTCCAAGT